GGCAGCCCTTCCTTTTTTAAAGAAACTTAAAGATGACTCTTACTAAAAGTAGAAGAAACCCACTATCAATTTATTTTTTGTTTGATAGTCCCCACTAAGACTCTTAACATATAAAGATATAAAGAGAAAAAAGTAAAAGCATAATGTTTATGTGTGTAGGATGGTCTTAGTATTGATATACTATCTAATTTCCTACTGCTTATTCTAGGTAATTCTATGAAAGTGTCAACATTATGCCAACTGCATGGCTGCATTTGTAAATACTGTCTTTAATTTTGTAACCAATATAAATATTTTTGAGCTATAAACTTCATACATTTTACACTATTTTCAAAGTGTTTACTTATGCATGCATAATCATGTTAAGTTGTAGAATTCAAGAAGATTTTGCATGGTGGCTCCTATGTTACAGTAACTAAGATTGTATCTTTTCCCACCCTAATTGCAAAAGTTTTTGTTTTAATTCAGTTACCTCTTGAAGGATTATTTGGAAGGTTAGTTAAAATACCTAAACTAGATAAGAGGCATTTATTATTAGATGGCATATTTTTGCATGTATGTTTATTTTTTGAGCTTAATTGTAAAGTTGAAGGGAAATGCTTTTTTAAAATGTATTTTGAATCTAGCATATCTATAATAGGCAAATTCAAACTTTCTCTTTTCTTGCAGATAAAGCTTCACCAAGAAGGTTGCCCAGGAAGCGGGCACAGAAGAGATCAGTGGGATCTGATGAGTAAATGTTCCTTTGTGCAACAATTCAGTCTTTACTTAACCTGCCCTAATGTTTTTCGGCCTGATGGGAATTAGTGCAGAGAAGCCATATCATCATAGAAGGCAACTACTACTTATGTGTGGACTGAGCAATCAGAGTCTGTGACGATAATATTTTTGAACGTGCACTGCATTCATTTTTCTAAAGTAACAAATTTGTTTTTTTAAACCATTAAAATCTATGTGTGTGTGTGTGTGTATGTGAGCAGTTGGTCTTACCAGAATCATCGTTGAACTCCCTGAAGCCTTTAGAATACTGAATATGTTAATTGCCTTTCTTGTTGACATTTTCTCTCCAAAGTCCATATTTATCCAAGATGATTGTAGATGTCCTACATTGGACTGTTTAAAGAAAACAATTTTTTTCCTCCTTAGAGTCCCAATTGATAGAACAAATTAGCATTTGGTTATCGTTGCTGTTTTACAACTAGTATTCTAAAGGTACAAGCAGGAGCAGCTGCTTTTTAGCAATAGAGTTGTTTTGGTACTTTGCTTCTGTTTACTATAGTATGCACCTTCAGAACACTTCCCAAATGAGTTCAAGGGATCTCTAGCAACAAAATTGTGAAACATGAAAATTCTGTTGATTTTGGTATATAAAATCCACCCCACTCTTTCTTTATCAAAAAGAAAATGGTGTGCTTGTGGAAACTGAGTTGGTGTGTTGACCATTATTCTATTTCTTACCCAAGGGATTGCTTTGGAATGATGGTAGACCTACATAGTTCTTTTTTGAAGAGATCATTTGTTTCTCCTTAGTAGAAGTATTTTACTTAAGAAAAGTTGCCTTAACTACATACCAAGCAGAAGGCCAATTTATAAGGGCAGAGATATATTCCAACTAGTTCTAATTTGTTTAAGAACATTTAGTTGGGTATTTTTTAGATGATTAATCAATTGTTTTTTATCTAATCTTTTTGGTATTTTGGTTGTTGATATAACCTTTTTTTTTAGTTCATCTGAAGAATTCCAAACTTTTAAGCACTAAGTATCTAAAAACCAAAATTAAATTGGGCTTCATAAAATTCACTTAGAGAGTTACTCTTGCCCTAGGTATTAAGTTTGGCATCATTGTTAGACTAGATGAAGGGTAAAGTATAATAGAAGGAACAAATAAGAGGCTTTCCCCTCTATCTTTAAGCCATATTCTTCCGTGTATATTTTGTAAGGAAATGGTATGTGAAATTTTAGTGGCTGTTCAATTCCTGATTGTCTTCATTATAATGAACTGACTGCTCCCCACCTGTACCCATGCCCACACAAAACAATGAAAAGAGACAAAACACACACACACAAAATCTTTCCAAGTTGTTTAAGTATTTAAACATCAGAGCCAAAGTCAATGACAAAATAGAAGTCATTGTATAGTTATTAATCACATTGCAAGTAGGGGTGAAGGTGTCAAATTATTTGTGTTGGCATTGCTGCACTATAAACTTCTATAACTGTAATATAAAGTGTTTGAGTTTTTAATTGGGCTGAAAAATAAGTTTATTTTGTAAAAGCTCTATGAACTCTAAGAGACTGCATGTTTTTTTTGCTAAATGTAATAAGGAGGTCCTTCCAACTTCTCAAGGAATGTATTCCCAGATATTTTTGTGAGCGTCCCAAGTTTGTGAAACTACTAGAACATAATGCAGTGAGGTGTGATTACAGAATTTAAATGACCTCTAGAGAATTTTATCAACACCCTGGTAATGCTGAGACAGTGGCAAAACCACTCTGACTGCCAGGTGCCACCCCTTCTACCCCCTAAGTAATTTGCCTTACATACTAGCTCATCCTTTTCTGAGGTTCAAGTTCGTGCCTCAGAAATTATTTGTCATGTTTTATTTTTTTAGCATAGGTTAGGAACACTTGAAAACTCAGGTGCTGGGGCGTCTTCTCTAGTATCAGTAAGTGTTTAGCAGGAACTAACTCTGTAATAAATGGAATTCAATTCCACACATGGTTTGTTCAAGCACACTTAATAAGTAGTCTATTTTTTAAATGTAAATATTTGGATGAAGTTTTTGTTTGTTTTGAAATATTCATTTGCTACATTAACCATGGTTTCAGAATTTACCATTTGAACAGTTTGGTTTCAGAATCTGTAAAATGAACTAAGAATCTTGTGTATCAATTCAGACATGTGAGAATATGTGTTTATAAAGCGTGGATCTTGCTTTGGTTGTATAGCTTCATCATTCATTTCATGGATATCAATAGCAAATGACTTTAAAACTATTCCTGCCCTCTAAGGTGTTTGAGTGGGGAAGGGAAATGGGACCTCCCAGGTAGAAACCTGAGGAAAACAGAAATCACAAGGAAAGGAGCCTTGACTTGATTTTAGTGATGTTTTTAATTTTAAATAAGCTTGAGATCATAGTGACTTTGATAGGAAAAGACAAATTTAGATCTTAAATATATATTTAAAAGCCACTGCCTTAAAGGTGTATTTGCAATGCATCAGCCTGGAATTGTATTTTGGCTCTGTTTGGGAGAAGTAAGTGGTGGTAATGTGATGTCAAAACTTTGATTTAATGATGAGTTACTTTGGAGCTACAGTAGTAGATAAATGTAATATAATATGCAAGGCTCTTAAAGCATTCATCTTTTGTGATACAATGATATCCATACCCTTGGTATGAAGGAAAATTTACTTGTTTAGTGCATTTAAATAATGTGATTTTTCTTTTTTTAATCATGAACTCAGCACTATGCATCATCTCTCACCAAGGTTTTAATAGGTTACACCCTTGATTTTTCAGTATTTCAGTTTCAAAATTAGATGTTAGTTTAATTTTAAAACACTTCCTGCCCTAGCCGGTTTGGCTCAGTGGATAGAGCATTGGCCTGCGGGCCAAAGGCTCCTGGGTTCAATTCTGGTCAAGGGCATGTACCTCGGTTGCAAGCTCCTCCCCGACTGGGTCCTCATTGGGGCTTGTGCAGGAGGCAGCCAATTGGTGTGTTTCTCTCACATTGATATTTCTCTCTCTCTCCCTCTCTCTTTCATTGTCTCCAAAAATCAATGGGAAAATATCCTCAGATGAGGATTAAAATAAATAAATAAATAAAATAAAACAAGAAAAAGAAAACTTCCTGATACACTTGAAATAATTAACCACATCATTTATAGTTGTAAAATTAATAAATTTGTTTGGATTTTATTAAATAACTAGAGGCCCGGTGCCTGAATTCGTGCACGGGTGGGGTCTTGCTGGCCTGTCCAGATGGGGGTCCATCAGGCCTGGCCAGTGGGGCAGGAGGGGTTGAGGGTGGTTGGCTGGCTGGCCCCAACCCCCAAACAGGGTGTTGGGGGCCGATTGGGGCCTGGATCAGGCTGGTTGGCTGCCACAGTGTGCGTCATAGCCACCAGTTGTTCTGGTCGTTCCGCCATTCTGGTCACTGGGCTTTTATATAGAGAGATATCCTACTTTGAATTAGATCTCCAGCTTTAGTGAGGAGCAAGGTGATACATATGCAAGACCCTTCTTACTAGTATAAGTGAAAGGTTAGGTTTTGTTAAGCTTCTCTCTAGAACAGTGGTTCTCAACCTTGGCTGCACATTAGAAACACCTGGGAATCTTAAAATCCTGATTTCTGGGCCTCATCCTCCGGAAATTCTGTTTCTTTGTTATGGGGTGGGGCCACAACATTAGTAACAAAGAAACAGAAGTTCCGGAGGATGAGGCCCAGAAATCAGGATTTTAAAAAGATTCCCAGGTGATTCTAATGTGCAGCCAAGGTTGAGAACCACTGTTTGTAGCATGTGGCTCAGTGTTTGGGGCATAGCAGGCGCTCAAACGCCACCTGCTATCGTAAACCTGCAAGCTTCCTATTTCCTCCTCCGTTCACTGGTCTCACCTGAGACGCGGCGCTAAGACCCTGGGGCTAAAGGCGGTAAAGCAGCGCCGCCTCCAGCTGATGGTGGTGCAGGGCGGGTGGGAGGGGGGTGGCTGGGACGTCATTAAATGGTTCTCTAAGCAGTGTCACAGGAGCAACAGTGCTTAGGGTAACGTCCACTTACCTAGGTAACCTTTTCCCTAAAAATATGACTACTGTTCACGAGTCCTGAGCTTCGCCAAACCAGTGGAGTTACTCGGCACTTACAGGCTTCTAGCCGCTTCTTGAACTCGAGTCACGCCTTCTGCGCAGGCGCCTCCAGTGGGTCGTCCTGGGCGGCCCCAGCCCCGCCTCTTCCGCCAGGCGCGGGCGCGGATTGGTCCGCGGGGCCGGCATAAGTCCCCGCGCGCAGGCGCGCCGCCCCCTTTCCCCCGCTGCCGGTAAGGTGCTCGGTTCTTCCGAGGGAGCTAAGGCCGCGTTGGGGTGAGGCCCTCACTTCATCCGGCGACTAGCACCGCTCCCGGCAGCGCTCGCCCAGCACTCGCCCTCGCCATGGCCTCCGTCTCGGAGCTCGCCTGCATCTACTCGGCCCTGATCCTGCACGACGATGAGGTGACGGTGACGGTGAGTGCGGGCCCGGGCCCACGGCAGGGCCGGCCCGCGGGCGGCGGACTTCCCCGCCTTCCCAGGCCTCCTGTCCGGCCCTTCCGGCCGGAGTCGGGGCCCTGGACACCCACAGGGCGGCTTCGGGCCGGCGCCCGTCAGGTGGCCCCACGTGGGAGTTGGCCTGGGGCCTCGGCCACGTGCCGGGTGCGGTCGGGGCTGGATTCCATGTGCGATGGCGCGCTCTAGCCGTGAGAACTTGTATTTGGAGAAACTTGGGCAGCGCGTGGGCATCCTGATCCGCAGCCAGTTACATATCATTTTGAATTCTTTTGGTTCTCCTAGTAGGCCCTGTATGGTGTGGAGGAGAGCGCGTGAGCTCTGCTCCCCCTCCCAGCCTTTGCTCGTAACTTAAAATAGCGAGACTTGGGCACCTTCCCAGCCCGTGAAATGGCAGCGATGAACTCGCCACACGGGACCAGATGGCATTTCTGTTGCCGTGACGGCCAAAAGAGTGTAAGAAAGGGTCCTCTTACACATAAGATGCAGGTAGAATAGTGAAACTGGATACACATGGCTCGGTACACACGTTTTGAATGATTTCTTTTCAACTTTTTGGAGACATCAGAAAGCTACGGTTTGGTCTCTGATGGGTTGTCATTTTATCTGTTTTAGGAGGATAAGATCAACGCCCTCATTAAAGCAGCCGGTGTGAACGTTGAGCCTTTCTGGCCAGGCTTGTTTGCAAAGGTAAGGTGATGGCAGCAACCTGATTTGGAGAGGTAACTTTGGGAAGACCTACTGATTACTAAGGAAGGTGTTCATGCCAATATCCAAAAAATAAATAACTCTTAAGTGGTATTTCCTTATTTCTATTGTGTCTTTCTTGATCTCAGATTGGTTTCTCTTTTCTTCTGCTTAGAAACCATGGTAAAAAGAATTAACCAGGTGATTCCTTTAAAAGAGCCTCCCAGAAGATAACTCCCATGCTATTACAAGCAAATCCTTCTAGTATGATAGCATGCTTTCATGGAAATTGGGTGTGGCCTTTTATTGTCCATTTACTGTGTGTGAGGAGATAAAAGACAAGACCCCTACTCAAGGAATTTGGCACTGGCTGCCTTCCATTCTACAGGTTACTGAATCTCGAGCAAGTGAAGCTTGTGGATGCTAACTATTCACCTGTGTCCTGCAAAGGGCTTTGAAAGATTGAAAACATTGTACCTCTATCATCTTTAATAAATTTCCTAGAATTACTTAGCAGTCTGAAAAATAGAATTCACTGTTAAGAGGAGACGTGGAACTGGGAAAAACCCTGACTTAAGGAAGCTTGAGTGTTAAGTTAAACCAGCATTTGGGGGCCAATTTTCTCATCTATAAAAGGAATTCAGCTAGCTGTACCTTACTACTTAAAACATAGCAATGCAGCTATGAGATTTACAGCTTGAAATTTTTTGTGATTGCTTATTTTTAGTGTAGCTGTATGGGTTGTTAAGTTTTAGGAAATCTGAATAGCAGACAAGCTGTCACTGGCAGACTCCAGCAAAGGAGAAGGAAGAGAAATTTGTGTATGTTTATACTAGAAGCTGATGCATGAAATTCATGCAAGAGTAAGCCTTCCTTCCCCCGGCTGTGGCACCTCCCCACCCCCCGGGCTTCCCAGTCTAATTAGCATATTATGCTTTTATTATAGATAGTGGTGGGGGTAGGTCACTGTAAGTTCAAAGGGGTGGTACTTTTTTTCCTGGGTGAGTATTATAACTGGGACAGAACTGAGCACTTAACCTCTGTATGCACTTGTGTTGCAGGCTCTGGCCAATGTCAACATCGGGAGTCTCATCTGCAATGTAGGGGCTGGTGGACCTGCCCCTGCAGC